TGGCTGGCTGTGTGGTAACATTGCCCCTTTCCCAAGGTTAGAAACCAGCACCCCTTTAATGGGGAGCGGAGCCTTTCTTTCTCTCCAAGTACATGTTGTGCTTTGCCCCTGTTTCCTAGTGAAGGGAAAAGCTTTCAAAGAGCCAAAGGACTGTGGGAATAAGGATGAAGTGCTGAAATATAAGATAAAGATAAGCCTGGAACAATATAACAAGGGGCTCCTCAATGGCCAGAAATGTAACACCATGTAAATGCCAGTCCTTAAGATCTGTATCTGCTGTGCTTACTACTATATGGAGTGAGACAGAGGCTTCTATCTCTCCTGTGTAAATGACACGACTTCCTTAGGTCTCCTGAACTATAGGATGTTTATGTAAAGCCCTTGTATCATTTTGCCTATACATCTTTGAGTTCATGATTTTCCTCAGATTTTCTGAATAATCCATGATAAAGTTGCAAACTCATTAATGATCAGTGAACTAAAGTGTCACTAACTGAAATGCTTTGGCCACACCAGATTTATAGAGAGAATATAACTCTATACTTTCTGTTAGGACAATGCAATCATGTGGACAGTGCCTTTGGAAAAGTTTGTCCCTCGTTAATGGACACAGCATAGCTGAAGAAAATATATCTCCAAGAAGAGAGACGTCACTTCCAGAGCTGAGAGGGCTGATGTGGCAGCAGGCAGATGGATCACGTCTGCGTTTTCTTTTCATGTCTTGAGCTATAGAGGAGTCAGTGATACAAAGAGAATTCTCTGAACCCTCAGGAAGGGAATAAGTATGTTTCAGAAAGAGCCTGATGACTTCACAGGCCATTACAGAGGAAAGAGAAAAGCCAAACATCATGTGGTGCAGTCAGGGAGAGTGACCTAGAATTATGTTCTAGGACTAAGAGCAATCATCTGGAGTCAGACTGCTTGGGTTTGAAAGCTGGACTAATAGGTGATCGGAAGAGGTGTGTGTTACTTACCTGTCATCTTTGTGGTCAGGCTCCCTCATCCTTAAAGTAGAACTGCACTCACATGGTTGAGCCTTGTTGCTAGTGCTCCTAAACAAAACACCCAGTTGCGTGGATTAAATAACAAGAATGCATTTTCTCACGATTATCTATGACACTGCAAAGTCCAAGGTTTTAGCTGATTTGGTTAATAGAAGGATCTCCTTTCCTGGCTTCAAATGATGATCTCAAGTGTAGGAAAGTGTAGCACTGACCTTTCTTCAGATTATGAGCGCAGGAAAGAGTACTAGGTGATCTTTCCTTAGAGAATGAAACAAACACAAGTAATTATAGATAGAAAGATAGATGATAGATAGATAGATAGATAGATAGATAGATAGATAGATAGATAGATAGACGAGAGAGGAGAAATAGAGAATCAGAGAGAGAGACAGAGACAGAGAGAAAGAGAATTTATACATAGCAGCTCTGCGGGAGTTTCTTATGAGAGCACTAATTCTACCAGTATCAAATTAGGGCCCCACTATTATAAACTCATTATTCATAAGTATCCTGCAACCACATCTCCACATAAAGCCACACAAGAAAGTAGGTTTTCCACACTGAATTTAAGACACAAATAATTCATCAGTCATTATTAACTTATTCTCATTTGTGCTTTTGTCTTCTTATTACACTTTATTTTTTGACTTCAACATCAATACTCATGGCATTTACATAGTCCTCTGCAGACATGCCCAGAGAACTGAAAACTTTATCACCTGATACACATGGTTCCATCTAAGGTAAACAAACAAACAAACAAACAACACCCTGTCTTCTGGTTTCAACTCTTATATAGTAAACAAATGTCCTTTTCACTTTTAAGTTTTATTTTAGCTCATGATTTCAGAGGTTTCAGTCCATGTTTATCTGACTTCAGTGTGAGAGCATCACAGAAGAAGGGCATGTCCACTTCATGGCAGGCAGGAAGCAGGACAGGCTGGACAAAGCACCAGAGAAGGGGCCAGGTATCCAATCAAAATGAGCTTGTCAGGCAAGAGCTACCATGTTGTTAGCTATGAGTGTAACATAAATGAGCCAATATTATATACTAATAAACTGTCTGTAAATCTAATCTCACATAAAATAAGGTCACATATTAATGGTGAAATGATTGTGACCACTGACACAGAAGAACATAACCTCTCATTTGTCATAGGAATAGAAATATTAGTTAATTCAATATTCTTGGAAAAGTTATGAATATAACTGTGGTAAATAATAAATACTGTTTGCATATGAGTCACTAAGTTATTTTTAAGAATTTAACAACTTATTTATAAATTATATATATATATATATTATATATATTATATATATTTACACTGGTATCTCTGTTCATAGTTCAGTAGTTCAGATTGCTATAACAAATACCGTGGACTGGATGGACTGAGTAGTTTAAAAAATAAAACATTTACTTTTCGTAGTTTTGGAGACTACAAGTCCAAGATTAATGTACTAGCTGGTTCTGTTGTAGTGAGGACCTGTTTCTGAGTTTGTAAGTAATTTCAGTCTTATATCCTGACCTGAGAAATATGGACAGTGAGGGAGGGAAGAAAGGAGATAGAGAGGAGGAGGAAGAGGAGGAGGAGGAGGAGGAGGAGGAGGAGGAGGAGGAGGAGGAGGAGGAGGAGGGGAGAGAGAGAGAGAGAGAGAGAGAGAGAGAGAGAGAGAGAGAGAGACTTGTGTCTCTTACAAGACATTAATCCCATTTATGAAGATTCTACCATTATGATTTAATTATTTTCCCTCCCCAGCAAGTCATCTACCAAAACCATACCACTAGAAATTAAGGTGAATTTTGGGAGGGACAAACATTAGTCCATACTAACTGGTTAACTTAATAAACACTCTCTATTATTATATTTTCAGAACTAGAATGGCAAAAATTCACTCTACAGTTGGAATTGGCAATATAAATTGTTTTAAAAGCACTTGTTAAAGTATCAGTTAAGATATAGTCTCTCCAAAAAATAGTGTATTATTTGTTAGATTGTCTATTTCGTCATTTTATCAGAAATACCCAAAGTTGGTGAAATTTTAGCACTAGATATGGCTTACGTTGTACTAATTAGTTTATTCACTTTTTTCATTTACATCATCTTCAGACTTTCACTCTGCATATTTATCTAGTGAAGTAATTGCTGTAGGCATGCCAAGATGAATACATTTTGTGTATAGCTAAGTAAATAAATAAAAATGTGGGAAAGGCAGTAGCTTGGTGGAAAAGCAATGAAAATATTAAAGGAATGTAGAAATGGGATCATTCCCTGATAAGTCTCTCAGGAATTTCCTGAGAAACTCCTGTTCTTAAGTGTATCATGATGTTTGGCTAAGTTAGAAAGAAGCTAAGGTACTTTCAATAAGGCACATGAGGCAAGAGCCAAACTGCCTATCACGGAGCAGTAGAGCTCTATTCTCTGCAGTGATTAGACCATATTGCCTTCACCAACAGAGCTCGATGGTTAGGAGCCCAAGTTCTGGTCCACACTGCCTGGCCTCAAGGACTTGTTTTTCCTATTACTAGCTCTGTGATTTTGAACAAGTGACTTAATTTCTCTGTGCCTCAATTTCCATCATATGCAAAATAGAAACAATGGCCTTGCTTTTTAACAGTGCAATGAAGTTTAATTCAATGCTGGATAAGCACTAGAATATAGTAGGTTCTATTTAAATATTTCAAAGATTATTTGAATGTGCCACACTAGACTCATGGTAGAGATAAATAGGTAGCTGACAATCAACAAGTAACAGTGAGCAATTGTTGAACAATTGTTGAACAAATTGTTGAATGAATGAATGGGAAATAAAAGATCTTAGAAATTTTCAGGTAGAGAGGATATATGAGGATATGATTTAAAATGAGCTAATTTCATAGTAAAGATATTTTGAATTGGCATTTCTCTGTATAAAAAGTGTCAGTGTTCCAATCTGGTTAAAATAAAGTCTAAATCACATGGTATAGTATATTAATAAGGAAAGGATAAGGTTTACAGTAGTAGCATATATTTCCAAATCTTAGTGGCTTAAAAGAATAAAAATGTATTTTTTCTCTAGCAAAATCTGATAAAAGAGTTCTCCTCTGTTTCATCACTAAGAAACTCAAGCTATATTTATCTTATGGTGCTACCATCTCAGATCACCATGGTGGGGGAAGAGAAGAAGGGAACTTAACTTAGTTGCTCTGACACATGTCATGCATTGTTTTGACCAGCGATTTATTTCTCAGGGTCATCATGACCCAATTGTAACTGAAGACAGAAATGTAGGAGCCAGACACAGACAGTAGAGAGGCAGCTATCTCTATTACACACTGTGTGTACAAGACTCTGAACAATCTTATAGTAAGTAATCCCACCTTATCTTTCAAACCTACTGATGATTTGAGGCCTGTTAATACCATCAGATAATCATTGGATGTATATAACAAGAATGTTCTTGCTTAATAGTCTCTGGTTCGGTGAGAGAAATAAGAAATATAGAATATAAATTTTATCCTCAAGGAATTTACAGAGTACAGTCAAGGAATCATGAATACATAGAGTATACATAAGGCAATGTAGAACTAACTTCACCTGAGTGCTACAAATAAGGTATGTATAACCTTGGGTTCACTACAAGAAGAAATTTAGTATAAAGTATATGTTTGATTATACAAATGCTTTACTAGATAGTCTTTTAGCATCAGAAGGAGAAGAGTCCTGGTGACCATCTGCTTGATCAGAAAAAGAATACAAAATAGCTATCGACATGCTGGAAGACCAGAAGACCAGTCAAAGTTCAAAGATCTGGAAGCTCACTGCAGAGTCCAGTGCAATTGTGTGTTGAAAAGCTGAAAGATCTGCCTTGGAAGACTGAAGAAACTGGAGATGACGGTCTGTAGATCAATGGCAGTGAAACTATGACACACATGTTATTTTTCTTTTAAGATAAAAGATATTAATAATGTATGAGTTGTTTTAGTCAAAATTTTTAATCACATTATTGGCACTTGGTGATAAATATGTGGGCTAGGAGTTGCAGTTCGGGCACTTGTCTCTAAAAGGTTCGCCATCACTGTTATGGGTAATTGTGAAGACCAAGGCTCCTGCAAAGAAAACAAAGAGAAGACATTTTTTACTCTTTCTAGTTTGTCCAAGATGCAAGCCTACCATTTATTGACAACCACTTCTAGGGTAGGGCTCCTCTCCTCAGTTTGCAGCCTATATATCAACCATTCACCGGCACACAAAGAACTTTACTCATCTGCTAGGTGGTTCTTACTCAAATTGACATATGGCATCTTAAGAAAATCACTAAATCTCTAACAGTATGTGTATCTAAGTATAATTTCTGTTTTTATAACATTTGAGGTCATATACTTTATAAAGAAAAAAGTTTTATTTTAGTCCCTGGTCAGGGCTTGGACAGAAGTTGGCCTCTACTTGGGCTCTGGTGAGAGCCTCATGCAGCTTTAACTCATGGTGGAATGTAGAGGAGCATGTGGCTGTGAGAAAAAGAGGTAAAATGCACAGGTCACGCTAACTCTATGTTACTTTCATGGTAGCTAATCCAGTCCCACAAAAGTGAGAACTCACATAAGAGAAGCTGTGATTCATTCTTAGGAGTTCTACCTGCATGACCTAGACTTTCCTTAGAGGTCCTTATATAACCTGTCAGTACCATTACTTTAGAATCAATTCTTCACATGATTTTTCGTGGAGATAAACCATATGTGTGTGTGTGTGTGTGTGTGTGTGTGTGTGTGTGTGTTTATCCTTAATAACTTGAATAACTCAAGAAATAGTACTGATTGCATTTCTTTTTGTGTAATAAAATATCCTAAGTGAAAAAATAGCTTCTTTAATACATGGGATTAAAATAGGATGTTCCCAGTTTTCCTCTTGGAAATCTATTGAATGGCAGACAAAAAATAAAAGTGTTGATAAATCTGAAAGAACTTTTTTCTAGGTGTGTATATCTAGGTGTCTCTAATAAGTGATTGCGATGGACTGACAACTGGTGTTCCACTTGTAAGACCCAGATGAATTGAATCAACAAGGTAGTGGGTATGTGTGACCCACCTGAGGATTGTTACCAACATAAAAAGAACTGGGGAGGAAGAATTAGGGGTTGATGGTTCTCCTGTTGCCATTGGTTCTCCTGGAGGAGCTTGTCGAGCTTCTTTCCTGATATAAACTTGGCTGTTATCATCATCAGAGGATCTTGGGACTTTATTGTTGTTGCTGGTAGCAGTTCACTTTGGGGGAGCTCTGGTCCTTTGAGCTTGACTTCCCGGCTCCAGATGGGAAGATGTGTGCTGTTCAATCTCCAGGAGAAGCTTGTCACGTTGGCTTCCTGACATGAATTCAGCTGTTATCATTGTCAGAGGAGCTCAGGACTTCATTTTTACTGAGGACAGCTGTGGTACTTTTTAGGGGAGCTGTGGTTCTTACTTTGAGCATTGCTTCCAGGTTCCAGTGAAAATCCCTCAATCTTCTGTCACAGATCCTTCATCCCTCTGTCAGAGACTTCCTATCTTCTGCCACTGATCTTCAGGCCTTCCCAGCACAGATCCATAAAACAGACATGCAAGAGTCATTGTCATAGGCTCTAGCCCAGTTGGACTTGTGGAGGGTATTGTCATGGGCTCTAGGTCTTCAGCTGGACTCATGCAGCACATTGCCATGGGATCCAGGCCCTCAAATGGATTTTTGGGTCTTTAGTGTGTGGTCAGATTGAGTGACTACTGTAAAATAATTCTGTAAGTTATGTGTCCTGTATTAAATTGGTTTCCTTGCAAACCCTCACTACAACAGTGAAAATTTTCTTTTCCTTGATGGAAACTCCAGAGCTCAAACTCACAAGACATTTCCTGGTGAGTTTCAAGGGGAAAAACCACACCACAAAATCTAGCCTACAACAAAACGGTTGGCAAGGGATGCTCCTGAAGTGGTAAGCAGCTCTAGATTTTACGCTTCACCCTTGCTGTCTACTAGCTCCCATGGGGCATCTTCTCAAAGCTATTGCAGCTGGGACTAATTGTGCAACAGACCACATAAAATACGCAAGTAGCTATTGAATTTTTCATTTTAGCAACTACCACCCAAATTAGCAGCCTCCTAGTCCTGGAGACAAATTCACCTTTTTCCAAGGCCATTTCTGGTTACCAAATCATACTTTATTGAATTAGTTAAAAATTTACAGAATAGGGGTTACTATGCACTTATTTCTACAAAATATTTGGATTTCCAGTCTCAATTTAGAGCAGCATCTATCCCATCTCTTTTCCCAAACCTTATCCAGCCCACATTAGAAAACCCAGGAAATGATTAAGGTGTTCACAGACACCCCTTTTGCATTTTTGTTTCAGTCATTTTTACATTGCCCAGACACAATACCTAACACCTGTGATTTAAGGGAAGAAAGTGCCAGATATGGAGGTGCATGCCTGTAATCCCAGCATTCGGGAAGCTGAGGCAGAAATATCATCACTGTGAGTTTGAGGCCAGCCTGGTGCTACAGCCAGACCCTTTCTGACAGAAAACAAAAAATGGAGCAGAGGATTTTTTTAAAACCTCACAGTTTATAAAGGTTTCAGTATGTTGTACACTGTTTCCAAGTTGGAAAGCATAACGGTGCTTCCCTCATGGCTGCCAGGAAGCAAAGAGAGAAAGGAGGAGTTGGGAAGGGAGATAAAACTCTCCAGGCCATGCCCCCACCTCCTGCCCTTGCAACCCTTCTCCTCTGATCAGACCTCTCTTCCCAACACCAAGTCATATATTCCACCTTCACAATTCAGTCACCTTCCAAACACATGAGGTCTTTGGGGGTCATTTGAGATCTAAACCCTAACAATTTTCATCTGTGATAAAGGGAGTCTGACTAAAAGTTCTGACTCTCTGGTATCATACTAACTGATTACAACAAACACTCATGGGTCCCTTTTTATTTGGAAAATATTCTCTACTATTATGAATAAGGCTATCCTCCTACAATCTCCCTAAGAGCACAGAAGCAAATAAAAAAGCATCCTATCATTTCCACTGCACAAAGCTATCCTGGGCTCTGCTCATCAGAGGGTTCAATTTTGCTGAATAATTCTCCATAGACATGAATGATAAAAGAGGGGATTATTACCCATCTGTTTACCCTCTTGGCTTTTGTCCATCCCTTATTGTCTTTTCAAGCTGGGTGCATCCGAGTGCTTTAGCGAATGCAGGAAGACATCACCAAATATGAGCACATTCCCAGGACCTGGGAGTCTCCTGCTGCACTGAGGCAGAGTGACACGGAATATTTTGCCTTGGAGCATTTCAGCACACTGGGGCTAAAATAAGATGTTGAAAGCTAAGGCCATGACATCTGTGGCTGGGAAAGGGCCAACACAGATCATTTTATCTTCTGCTGTACACATGCAATCCATTCATCACCAGGCATCAAGATCTTGACTGAGCAGCTAGGAAAGACACAGAAAGCAGAGCCTGGTTTCTGCTGTCAGGATTGCTGTTTATATTAGTTTGCTGTGTTTTTTTCCTGCAATCTCATGGAAAGTTCTCTCAGACTTGAACAGAGCTTTGCTAGGGTATTTGTGTCAAAAAGATAAATTTAAATAGGAGTTGGACAAGAAAGAGGAGAAACTTAAGAGTATTATTATTTCTGACTTCGAGGTTGTAGAATTCACAAGAAATTCCCTTTTTTGGGAAATGGGCACAACTGTCAAAGTGTATAAACTAAACCAGAAAACAAAATAATTGTTTGTGATCAGATCACTTCTATTTAAATCCCATTGAGAAGGACTCATCAGCAACTCTGTTATAACCTGTTCTTTGCAATTTGAGCAGAATTAGAGATTATTATGTACAGTTTAAATTATAGTCAGATCATTTTCATTGGTGAAATTTGCCTTGCATTTATTTTATGAAGTCTACCAGTATTTCTTTGAGTGTTATTATTGATTGGAAATTGGACCCCTGCTTAATGTTTTCATCTCATATTCTTATAGCCAAGAGATGTAAAAGATAAACAATCCTCAGAGGTGTTGGAGAGTCTGAGTTCAATTCTAGATTGTGAAACTAGCAATTCTGTGGCCTTTACGTCTTAGAGCTTCCATTACCTCTTGTATAAAATGGTACAAGTCAGACAAGATTGTTGTCTAAAATCTTTCGTTATTCTAAAATTCTCTTTTCCTCCAAAGCATTTACTTTCATTAGCATTTAAATTACATATTAACCATTTCTCTGTACTGATTTTACAGCTATCCTAGAGATGTGTTTATCTTTGTCTTCATAAATGTAGTAGAGACTAAATGGAGAAAATGGCATGACCTCATTCCTTTAAAGACACACTATGCTGAGAAACTTCTGGATCATGTTGCTCATCTACTTTTCATTATAACTCTTTTTGGCTAAAGACTTGGCAGAAACAAACTCAGAAAGAAGAAGTTTATTATGGTTCATTTCCCACTCCACCTATTTTCACTAAGAGTGCACTGCTCTGATGCACGTACTTTGTAATTTATGTTTAATCTCTGTGGCACCCCCATGACCAGGATTTTGGAGCATTTTCATAACATCCTTGTTTTTGTACAATGAAGTGTTTTGATGCAATCCATTTTCAAGGTGCCTGAAGCACACTCACAGTGAGTCATCGTGATCTGATATGAAAACAACTCAGCAACACCAGATTACACACCCAGACTTTCTTATTGGGATCTTGTTTTCCCTTTCAGACTCAAACAGCTGCACTTCAGGGCCTGAGAGAAATGTGTAATAAAGTATAAACATCTTACCTTTGCTTTGTTTTCCTCTGAAGTTCTTCATGATGATATTATACTTGTATTTATATTTCTGAAGAATTAAGGAGAAGAGACAGTAATATACATTTATTGATCACTTCCATTATATATTCCAAACACCATGTGAGATACTTTATAAACTTATCTTTTCTATTTCTTTCTAGCAGTCTTTAAAGTAAGGAGTGTTATGTCATGCTATGGATAGGACTTAAAGGCTTGGAGATACTTTGGAAATCTATGAGTATTATACAACAAGGAAACGAAACCAGTCTTGAACTCTTACCATTTACTTACCAAATGGATTTGTGATTTTTAATTTCAAAACTATTTGTTCTCTCTGTGTTTTTGTATCTTATATTCTCTATTTCAATATCTAAGAATTTGTTTCAATTTTCTGTCACAGAATCATGCACAAATATGTTTAGATCTTTTACAGTTTTGTCTTCATTCCCTTGCAATTTCACAAGGAAGATCAAGGTATTATAGATATTTTCATATCTACCAGCTAGTCTTGACTGAGTCAACAATAAAGGTCTGTAATTTATCAGTCTAGAGTCATTTCCTGATAAAGAGTGCATTTGCTCTATACTTTTCATGAAAAATTGAAGGACCTAGTTCTTCTGTCTTTCATTCCATCTATCCATCTATCCATCCATCCATTCATCCACCCATTCATCCATCCATCTATCCATTCTTTCATCCATCCATTCATCTAGACTTTATTTTTGGAGCAGTTTATTTTCACAGCAAAATGAAGAGGTACACAAAGAGACTCCAGAATGCCTCTACCTCCACACATTAACAGTATCCCATGTTAACAATATCCTCTACCAAAGGGATATATGTGTTACAATTGATAAATCTATGTTTATACTTTATCTCCTAAATCCATACGTTACATCGTTTTACTCTTGCTGTTGTACATTCCATGTTTTGAGTCAAAATAAAAAGGACATGCATCTACCACTCCAACACTGTACAGAGTACTTTCACTTCCTTTGAAGTCTTCTGCATCCTCCTACCTTTTCACCACTTCCTCCCCAACCCTGTTAAACTCTGATTGTGTTATTATCTCGGTAATTATCCCTCTTGTAGAATGTGCTATTGTTGGAGTCATGCTATATATAATCTTTCCAGGTTGGCTTCCTTCACTAGCAACTTGTAGTTAAGGTTTATTTCTCTGTCTTTCAGTGGCTTAATAGCTCCTCTCTCATTGGAGCTAAAGAGTATTTCACTGTCTGGATATGCTATAGTTTCTTTGTTCACCTACATTTTGGTTGTTTTCAAGTTTTTGCAATTATGAGCAAAACAAATATAAATATATGTGACCAAGTTTTGTATGGATATAATTTTTCAACTTTACTGAGTAAATACTAAGGAGTATGATTGCTAGGTTGTGTGACAAGAACATGTCAGTTTTATAAGAAACATAAATGTCTTCCAAAATGGGTTTATAAATTGTATTTCCACCGACAGTGATGATGTCTGTTGTCCAACACCACTATCCACATTGGCTGTTGTTCATGTCAGTACTTAAGATTTTGGGTTATCTACTACTGGGTGACTTCTGCTTGTTTCACGTGACATTCTTCTGATGATTAAAAAGTGGAATGTTTTTTCATATGCTTATTTACCATCTAGTTATCTTTGATAAGCTGACTGTTAAAGTCTTTTGACCCATTTTGTATGAAATTGATTGCTTTCTTATTGTTGAGATTTAAAGTTCTTTGTACAGTTTAAATAAGAATGTTTTATCATATGTGACTTTTGGAAGTATTTTCTCCCAATTAGTGGATTATTTTTTCTGTTGCTACCATATTTAGAAATATGAAGTTTGTTGCTGCTGTTGAAGTCTAGTTATCAATTTTTTTTCGTATTTTATGACTTTAGTGTTTCATCTAAAAAGTCATCACTGTGTTTATGACATCTAGATTTTCTGCTATTTTATCTTCTAGGAGTTTTATAGTTTGCATTATACATTTAGGCTTATGGCTCATTTTTATTTAATTTTGTAAAGGGTGAAAGATCTGTAACTTTTTTGTTTTGCAAGAAAATACCTAGTTGCTCTGGTACTATTTGTTGCAAAGCCTATCTTTTGTCTATTATATTGCATTTGCCCTTTTGTCAAAATTGGTCACCTACATTTGTGTATATCTACCTCTGAGCTCTCTCTTCTGTTTCACTGATTTTTTTAACTTTAAAAATGTATTACAATAGAAGATTCATCGTAATTAACCCTCCTCCAACCTCGCCCCACCCCTCAACTGGAACACACTTACCCCATCATTCTTGCTATCCTCTACCCTTTGTTTCTTCTCTCCAGATATTGATCTCCTCATTCGCAAAGGATCTGTCTCCCTACTTGCTATTGTCTATCTTTTATTTTGCTCTTTGTTTATATCTTAGCGTTCTTACCTAAGGAAAAAAAAACATGCAATATTTGGGCTTTGTATCTGACTCATTTCATTTATTATTAGTCTCAAGGCACATACACTTTCCTACAGTATATTCAAGTTTATCCTGCAGAGTGGTAGGTCATTTTGTATAAATACCAGATTTTCTTTATTCGTCTGGTGATGGGCATATAGGCCACTTCCAAGACTTTGTCACTATGAATTGAGCTGCTATAAACATGGATATGATGTATTACTATAATATGATGACTTTAAATCTTTGGGGGAAAATGCCTAGGTCCAATGGAATTTCTAGTTTTAGTTTTGTGAGGAATCTCCATGTTCATTTCCACAATGGTTGTACCAATTTACAATCCCACCAACAATGTAGAAACTTCCTTTTCCTCATAGGCTCACTAGCTTTCATCATTATTTGATTTCTTGATAATAGCCATTATTTCTGCAGTAAGATGAACCTTAGAGTTGTTTTAATTTGCATTTCTCAAGTGTCTAGAGATATGGAATATTTTTAATGTATTTATTGGCCATTGGTTCTTCTTCTTAGAAGTTTTCATGCATTTTATTTGCTAATTTTTGACTAGGTTTTTATTTTTATTAACCTATTATTAATTATTATAAAATCGTCTTGATCTCTGTAGCCTTAGAGTTCATTATGAAATCAGGTATATTAGTTCCCTTTAATACTACCTTGGAAATTTTGTATCATCTTTGCCACTCCTTATAAACTTTAGAATCAGTTTCCAGTGGGGATTGCATCAAATATAGAGGTCAAATTGAGAACAACTGTCATTTTGAAAATATTCAACCTTTCTATTTATGACCATGAAACACCTTTCTATTGATGTAATTCTTCTTTGATTTCATTTATCACAGTTAATTTTCCTTACATAGTTCTTGAACATAATTTGGCAGATTTGTATCAAAGTATTTCATTATTGAGGTCCTCATATAAATACTTTTGTCTTTCAATATCAAACTCTACCTGTTCATTGCTAGTATATAGGAAAGTGATTAACAATTATATATTAACCTTGCATCCTGCAACTTTTCTATTCTTGCTTAGTTGTTTCAGGATAATTTTTGTTTGCTTGATTTTGTTTTGTTTTGCTTTTGACAGTGCTTCTAAATTTTTATATGAGAGGCCATGTCATCTATATATAAAGCCAATTTTATCTTTCTTCCCAACCTCACTGTTTTCTGTCCTTTACTAGTACTTCTAGTTTTATATAGTATATCCAGTATAATATTGAAAATGAGTTGTTAGGGGATATTATTGTCTATTGTTGATCCTCAAATGATTAAGAAAGCTTTCAAGTTTCTAATGATTTAACATAATGTTGCTTCTAAGTTGTTATTGATATTCTTTATCAAGTTAAGTAAGTTTTAATGTACTTAATCATAAGTGGGTGTTGGATTTTATACAATGTCTTTTCTTCATGTATTAGTCTATTAATGTGGCAAATTACACCCACTGGCCTTTGAATGCTTAGCCAGCCTTGTACAAATCTTATTCAGTGATAGTACATAATTTCTATTATCCAGTATTGAATTTGATTTCTTATGATGTGTGTAGAGAGGATTGTGTCTTTATTTCATAAGACATATTGCTCTGCAATTTTTACATTTCTTTTTCTAGATTTGGTATTAGGGTGATTCATTCTACTACTTTTTAAAAGATTATAAAAAATTTTTAATAGTGTTTCTTAAATGGTTGGATTTAATATGCTCTGTTTTCTTTTTTCCTAAGGTGAAAGCATAGATTATAGGTTATTTTATAATGTATGTACTCAGTTCTATAAATTTCCCTTTAAACTCTTCCTTTGTTCCATCCACAAATTTCAATGTCACTTTTTAATTTTTAGCTTTTCTACTTCTGATATTCCCATTACACATATGTTATAAATTAAGTAACTTTCTCACAGCCTTTGACTACTCTGTTCATTTTTACAACCATCCTTCTGTTTGAGTTTTTAATTTTTGGAGTTCTTTTGTCATATCATTAAGGTCAGACATGTGTTACCTCAGTCCTGGAATGTATGATAATCAATCAATCATAGCCATTATTCATTTCAGGTACAATATTTTGGTAACTTTAGTATTTCTTTTGGTTCTATCTTAGGATTCCCATATCTTTGAATACATTGCCCATTTATTCTTCCATGCTGTTTACTGTAGCCTTTAGAAACCTCATCATATTAATCATAGTTGCTTTAAATCCTGTTTGGAGAGTTCCAGCATCCCTGCCATATCCTGTGCTTGCTTTGAGTCTTCAGGTTGGGTTGATTTGTCTTCTGATAAGCCTTGTAATTTTTGTTTTGATATGTGGATGCAATGCTCTAAGTACAAGGCCCTGCCATAAATAGGCCTTCAGTAATGTGGGTAGTAAGGTGTGTGTGTGTGTGTGTGTGTGTGTGTGTGTGTGTGTGTGTGTTTGTGTGTGTTGGGGGCCCTGGAAACATGTTTTGTAGTCCTATAATTCTCAGTCTGTAGTGACCCTGTGTGCTTGGATGTGAATTTTACACAAGCTCCTAAGTTTTTTGTGCCTTTTATTGGATAAGACAGAATGGCTAGATTGAGCTGGAGTTTAATATTTTGTTGTTATTGTTGTTGAAGTATAGAGTTGTCTGGAGTTCATTAT